ATCGATACATTCACAAAGAATGGAAATAGAGTGTCAACATCTCGATCCAATACATTTGATACATTTAATTCTTATAATCGATTTGATATTATCTAACAAATTCCTTGAGATATACTCAAGGTTTTAATGTTTACACAGTGATCTAGTTTTATTCTGATGATCGATACAATATTTCTATACTGATACATTTCACAGGTGTATAACAGTTAATCACGTCTCTTCCAAGGTTAGAGTAAAATGTGAAAAACATTATTCAGTTCCATTCAAAGAAACTGTAAGTAGAAAATTGTTGTATATCTAAGTTACAATAAAACAATTCGGTAATGGAAGAACGACTTCATCTGCATGAAAATTACGCTTTTAATATATTTCAATGCTCAATTATCAATGTGTGAAGATATATAACTTGGTGTTCAACACCATCGAAATGAAACAGTTATTAATAGTCATCAATTTTTGCTTATCGTAACAGAACTCGATGATAATCCTAGAGATTTAAAATGTGTACGATATGTATGTATATAAAGAAGGTTAATATACTCTTGTCAACTATCTTATATATCATATCACGAAAGTGATGCCTGCTCTTTTCGTCACACAAGTTATCGATGGTGCTACAATCTTTTCACAAGTTGCATAACGCTATCATCTGTTTTACTTTTCTGGTTTTAATTAGAAAAAGACAAATTAAATTTGATTTGAATCAGTCAGTATCCATCTGCCACTGAAAAAATAAGAAATTTTGACTAGCCATTTAGAATTTTTTCTGAAACAATGACTAAGCGCTTTGTTTGAACAACTTTATCAGCAAAACTTTTCTTCAAAACGCTTCATTGATTTGAAAATACGTGCATAAGTTTGCGTATGAGGTAATGAATAAACGAAATTTAAAAAGAGCTTAAAATCTATAGTTTTCATCTAAATACCCTAATGAAAAACTTGCGACTATTCATCCCATCTTCATGACAAATCAAAAAGCAAAACACAGAGTTTTATAGCGCTCAAGTAGAGCTCTCAGTCAAATGATATATTATTCATTTTATTTAAACAAAATGGGCTGGAGAAAAAAAGAATTCAATTGACCAGTCAACTGTGAACGAATATGAATTTTAGAGAAAAAATTACAAAAAACCTATTAGATATATTTTTTTCTGTCTCTTTTACACATATAAAAACTATGAACAATTATGTATTTAAATATACTTGAATCAAGTTTCTCCCATTATTGATGCGTGTATTGAGATTATTATTGAAGAAAATTGTTTTCATTGAGAGAATTTTAACGATTATTCAAAACTGAAAAATTCGTAACTCCATCAATACTCATTAGACCATCCAGATTTCTTCAGGATATATAGTACTTAACATACTCTGCAAACGAAATGGAAAACGTGTATCCACATCTTGTCTACTCCTTTTTATTCTTGATAGTTTAATGCGAATGGCCTGTCCTAATGCTCGAAAACGATATAAATCAGAAGAACTCTTATCTAAACGGAAATAAGAGTGAAAAAAAACCATGTTGTTCTCGGTTTTTGTTTTTTGATCTAAAGTGTTATCCCCTAAATTCTATTAGTTTAATCGAGCGTAAAGCAGCTTTTGGTCATACTAGTAGAAATTGAACAAAAAACTATGTTCATAATTTCTCTTTCACATTGTTTCTTTTGAATGTTTCTCCTGATATCTCTTTTCAAGAAACAGCGCTTACATTTTTTAATAAATCTCTTGGTAGTTTTAACGCCTATATGTGCCTTCATATTGATGAATACGTTTCTACATCTGTACGACTCTTCCTTGAAACAATGAAAAGCTATTCTTTATGTTGCTGTTTGAAAAAGGCTACATTTAAGCCACTTTTCGTGTAGAGTGGAGATGTGCAACCGAACCCGTACCCGATCCAAGCCGAAGGTTGGGTACGGGTACGAAATTGTCGGATATGGGTCAGGGGTACGGGCAGAGCGGTTACGGGTGCGGGTTCTATTTTTTTAATTTACCGAAAATCGGAAGATTTTAGTGGAAAACCCACAAAATTTTAGTGAAGAAATACAGGAGTTTAGCTAAAATACATGAAGGTTTAAAAAAGAATTACTTGAGAACGTAATAATAATTTGACTTCTTCAGCCGAAAAACAAAAGCTTTTAGCTGGAAAACAAAGGAAAAGGAAAAGAAAAAAGGAGAAAAGTTTTAGGCATAAGTCGGGTACGGGTCGCGTACGGGTGGAAAAAAATTTTCGGATCTGGTACGCATACGAAAATGGTACCAGAGCACATTTCTAGTGCACCGGTTCCCAGAGTTCCCAATCGATATTTTCAGAAGTTCAACTTCGGAGAATTTCTACTGCTAATTTAAGGGTACCCTTCCCCTCATTTTGAGCTTTCCCAATTTTGGGGAAATTTTTATGAGACCTTTCCTGGTCGAGTTATAGGGAAAATACTGAAAAACGTCTTAAAAATCAAGTTTTTCAATTTTAGAAACCCGATAAGTCGCTAAAGAAAAGTCTAAAATAAAATTCTAAATATCACCTATGCAATAGTATCTTGAGTACCTCTGGTAAAATTTTGAACTCGATCGGATGAAATTTAAGGGGGGTCGTAATGTGACACAATGAAACGAAGTAGCAAAAAAATAGTTTTCGAGAAAAAACGCATTTTGTATATATGTCACTTTTTTTAGAGCATTTTCCGCGATGCTTATATCTCCGCGAAAACTCATCGGAAAATTCTGTAAAACGTCTCATTACGAACTCATTCATTACGAAGAAAACACTTTCTTCTATCAGACTATGTGTAAGAAAAATTTTGCATGTACAGAAAATGAGAGAAAAGTTTGTGAAACTAAAAAATTGACGTTTTTTAGGTTTTGAAGGAAAAACTTCAGAAATCCATAACTTTTTGAAAAAAGGTCGTGGAGTACTGAGAGCGGTCTTATTTTGTAGCCCACACTTTCCTCTACATTAGGCTATGCTTAGCTCAAAATCCGAAATTTTTATAAAAAGGAGGAGGGGGTGGGGTGATACCCTTAAGTCTATAGTAATAGACTCGTAAATAAATTTCGATCAGTTGTTTGAATCTTATCTTCGGTATCATTTTTTGGTTCTCTTTGTGCTTAAAAATATGGTTTCATCAGAGATCTGCACAAGTCACACTGAAAACTTTTGTTTCCAGTTTAGTGTAAAGTGTACAATGAACTTCTTACAAGTTTGCCTGATCTGACTAAATTAGCCCGTAATATTTATAGAATACTGACAAAGTGCGTAGCTAAAACGAAAATTTTCTGTACTCTATCACAGAATGTGTTTAATTCAAAATAGGTTGAGTTAAACTGTTTTTTTACGCTGTTTTGTACGTGACCTGTTTATATGTGGCTAGATCAATATTTCATACTCGTTGAAATAAATTAGGAGTAAAACAGAGTTCGGCAAACTTAATCTATCTTGGTTATAAAAGTACGGTTAAAGATTTTGTTCAAACGTCAATCCTTAACTAATGCGACGATGAGATATCATCAAAGTTAAATGTGTATGAGTATAATCTTGACTTTGATTATCTTAACAGATGTACCTGACAATAATGTTAAACAGAATAGGTCATGTATAGTCAAAATAGAGCGATAAAGTAGACGACAACAGTACCTCTTTTCGTTAATTTATACATGGCGGTTCTAAGATACTCGATAACTTTTGATGCGAGCATGTTTTGTTTTCAAATAAAAGGAACAAAGATATAAAACACAACAGTTTTGTGGATTCGAAACTCGCTTTTTATAGAAACAAATTTAAATCAGTAGCAAAACCTTTTATAAAGTATTGCTTATAGAAGTTAGATTATTCTTTATCTCAAAACTGGTATAAAATACTCTTTTGTACATATCACACTCCTACTTTCAACTAGTTGAAAATAACCTGAAAACCTTGGCGCAAGTACGACATAAACTGAACAACTGTATCGTCCAAGGAAAAGAATGTGTATATGTTATTATATTCATGCTGTTACAACATATTTCTTCACATTCTCGAAATAGATTCAAAAAGTTACAAATAATAAATTGAATAAAGAAAGAGAAATAGAAAATGTTGTATTATTTTCTTCTGCACTTCAAATGATTCTACCATCTACTCAAAAAGTAAACATTTTCAAGTGGAGCAATATAAATTGAAAAAAACGATTATTAGTTCATCAGAAGGATGTAAATCAATATGTACTTAGACGCTTAAAAAAATGAACTGCTGAGTATAATGCCAACTACTTTCAATCACGAGAATAGTGTATAAATGTTTTGAATTCATGAATAACTTGTATAATACATTTTTCAGACAAAAAAAGACTTCTCAACTGGTAAATTAGAAAGCTTTTGGTTGATCTGAATTCATTTCGATCGCCACTTTATCGTAACAATCCTCTGTTAATATGTATCAGCTCAATTACAGTAGCGGTCAAAAGTATATTGACTGTTAGATCTGTCGAACCATAGTTATTAAATGCAAATCTCGTGTGGATGTAGACTTACTCATATATACTAGTATGGGCCTCTTTGACTGAATGATTCGCGAGACAACAGTTTCATTATTTTTCAATGAAATGCGAATGTCTTTTGCTCCAAGACCGATGAACACTTTATCTTGGCATCAATCTGTAATCATAATTCTCTTCTATTTATGACATAGATTTAATATGCTGATTGTTAATAGACTGAAATAGAGCCGTTTTGCGTTTGATATCCACTTTTGAAATTCGAGATCCCTCGTACACAGGGAAACGAGCTTAAGTAACGAAGGATCGCCCTTTCTACCGTGTCTTTGCAGTTAAAGGGATTATCACAATAAAGGGCCCGGGTGCTCTAATTTGTACAGAGTTTTAACGCTTTTAACAGGGCCTTATATTGCCTCCTAAAAAGAAATTTATGGTCTTTTCAAGTTACAACTTTTAGATGATGAGGATGACGGAATTTTCTTCTGTTATTTTAGGAAGAGTCTTCTAATGTGTCAATCTGTTTAAAGTACATCAAAATGATGCAACAGTATAATCATGACGACGCAAATAGTAGATGAACATTGTCAAGAAGATTTCATCTTCACTCTAAACAAGAGAGAGATGTTTAAATGAAACTCTTTCGCTCGGAAACACAAGTGTTTCACTCGACACTGATTTTTAGTAGGTAATTAAAATTGTTTAAAAAGCATATAGAAAGTGAGATAGACGCGAAAATGAGTAAGATAAGATCTAACGATCATCAACATATTTCAATCAACAATCATATATTAATCTATGATCATGAAAAAAGTAAGAATTTTCTTCTCACAGTAATTACTTTTCTAGCGCTACTTCACATTCATAATAATAGAACTAATTACTGTTATTTATACATATGATACACTACTATCGAAAAACATTCATCTGTCACTACAAATTCAATGTAATCTGACTTCTCTAATGAATTTGAGATATGATACTATAGATTTTCACAAACTTGTATCATTGGCTTCTATACAAAATATTATAGTTTTCTTTCCGTTTTACTAAAAAAAGAAATTTGATCTATAAAATTATCGAAGTATAGTCTGAACATTTCTTACAGAGAAGAAGCAATTTGAATTTCTTTTTGTTTCATATATATTACATATTAATTACGATGAATTCGAACTATTCTTTCGACTCAAATGTCCTACGAGAACATGGAAAAAAATAGCGTCTATATGAAAACAGATCAATAGTTCAACTAATGAGTATTATGACGAGAAGAGAATGTTGGAGATGAGCACCAGATGTCGAGAACGTGACGACATAAAATTATATTTATCTTACAACGACTATCTTGTAAGAATGGGCATACAAAAAAATTCTTACAAAGACAATAATAATTTCTCATAAATCTTTCGTTAATATGATGACGAGTCTATAAATCGTACACTATCAATTTCTAAATAGACTTTTGTTCCGAAATACACTTTACCTGTATTTCACGTGTATTTTTTTCTACTTTTTTAAAAAATTCAATAAAAAGTTTACAACTATGTAAAAAATGGGCTTATTTTTTCAGAAAATAATCTTTTATACCTTTCTCTATATTCAAACAACAAAACCAACGTGTTCTCCACATCACGCATTATAGTTACTAAAGAAAAGCAAACAAATACAACATACACATAGTAGAATAACTATGTCCTAATGACCACAAACAGGTCTCATATATATATATTGTATTCTGTCAATATTTTCCCAACAGCTAATTAATCATGTTAAACTTACCAATAGCCGCTAAGGAGGAATCTTTATTTCGACGTTTATTACTACCACATGCTCGTAGCCAAAGAAATGGTAGCGATCGATATTTGGCTAAACGTCTTTCAATTGGTGAAAATATCGATAATTTTGTATCAATTGTTGAAGTTGGTATAGAAACAATTGGTGTGATGAGAATGGATGATGATGATTGAGATGATGCAAGATTTGAACGATTTGATGATGAACTTAGTTTAGATGTCGTACGATGTTTCCAACTCATTTATAAAACAAACAGATGATGATACTGAGTTACATGTGTTTGAAGATTGAAAAAAAAAATGCAAATATATATGTATGGTCGTTAGTTATCTTTACGGATAAGATATTTATATGGTGATGGTTATGATATTCTTGTTCTTTGTCATTGCTTTATATCTATTTGTCTATATGATTATGGACTATACATTCACATTTTGAATACAAAAGATTTATATATGTAGGATATCAATTGTGTATATGTGTTTTCTCAAATGCTAGCATGAATTGAGAAGTATATAAACAACATCCTTGATCATTATCATCCAAAAAAAATGCTCATGTAAATAGTCGAAAGGCGGAAAGAGTATGTATTTGTATATGCATTATATATATTTCAAGGATCGCGGCATGGTGCCCACATATCTATGCAAAATTATAACCTGTACAAAAAAAATAAAAAGAAAGAAAAAGAAAGAACAAATAACCTAGTAACATGCGACTCAATTTTTTTTTTTTCGAAAAAATAACTTAACCTACTGTTCTCCTTATTGTTTTGAAAAATAAAATTCGCAATTGATCAGTTATGTATGTATATTCAATATAAACATTTCAATTATATTCAAATAGGTTGAGTGAGTGAATGAAAAAGAGAAGAACAAATACGTATGTATATCTATCGAACTTGTAAACATAGAGAAACACTAGTCACATAATGTAAAAGAGAAGGATCAACATTTTTTTTCTCCTTACTGTTTAAAAAAAAAAAGACGTAAAAGAAAGAAACTGAATCAGAGAAAACCACAAAAAAAAAAAATAATAATAGAATTATCAATTATTACTTTATACACCTGTCAATTGTGTCTGTGTGTGAGTGTGTGTGTATTTCTAAATAAAGACATCGATAAAATAATTAGAATAAATTTAAAATACCAAAGATTTTAGTGCTCTTTTAATCTTTAAACAATTATACAAGCCCTTGAACTGCTTACTCTCAAACTCTGCACACTCATTTTCACACATAATACCATCGCTTTTGAAGATTCTTTAAAAATTGATTAAAAGTGTGCAGAGTTCAGGAAGTAACGCCTTGAACTATCTTAGAATATAATGCAAACTTATGAATTCAATATCATAGAAACTACACCTCATCACATGGATTGTATCCACAAAACGAACTCAATAAACTGTATTCTTGTAATATTAAATAATTCATTAATAGATTTATAGTTTCTCGTTAATTATTAGAAGATAGTCTACGTCCTTTTGTTAAAAAATATCGTATATTTTTCAGTCTAACAGATTTTATGGCTTTGATCAGTTTACTTAAAAAGTTACATCATATCTTGTAGCAATGACCAATTTGACTAAAGAGAAACTTGTTTCTCTTTAGTTTTAACAAATTAAAGATTAGTTATAGTTTTACGAATTAACACAATAATAAAATAGCTAAAGGAGAAAAATATCGGGCGATTCAGTCATTCGAATCTGAATGTTTTACAAGAAATACTTGATGCTATACAACAGAAACGTTAAAATGTTGTTTTGAAAATCAGACAAACAGCTGTTGTTGTTTTTATCGTTTTTCTATCAAAGGTTATTGTTGTAGATATATTTTCATCCATTAAATAACCAATGTAGACGCTGAAATATAATTATAGTTCCTTTACTTACATGAATGTTGTTCTACATCATGCCTTGTTGGACCACGAGGACTTGACGATCCAGCATCTATATACAATAACAGAAATAGAATGAAGAGAATATAAATCAGTGTCCGTCGAAGTTAGCTGGCATGTACGAATTTTCCACATGGATTATTTGAGAGCTCGAACAAAATTGAGAAAGATCATTTATGGTAAGCAAGTCATGACTATTCGTTTTTTTTCCCAAAATCATGTTTGATTTGACAATTGAGTGATGCATTTTAAGATATCAGTAATAACAATTATTAATCAATTCCTCACACTGCCGTTGTCAATAAACTACTGTATCGAATGATTTAATAAAAGTGTTGTAATTGAACTTCATAAAGTTCGGATTAATGCAAGAGCTTGTAAAAATCAGTTAAAACACAGAGAGAGTCGTAAGTTTTTTGACAACGCCGATGTGTAGATTGTGCAACGGATTACTCAGTTGTCGAACGAAACATGGTTACTTCATTCTTCTACATCCGTTCACCTTGTACACTCAATTTTTTTCAAAATTGTGTCACTTTTTTTGAACATACACAGTTCGACGTAGAACTGACAACTGTATAAAACAATGGCATAAAATTTAGAGAGTTGAGTGTTTGCGGTGCTCAGACGAAGGAAAAATTGAAAAAGCTTGAGCACGGTTACTAAAAGTAGGTGTGTTGTCCTTACTTTCTCCTTTCATTATTTTAAATTTCAACCATTGTTGATTCAGTTGTCTTTAAGAAATCTAAGATATATGGACTACCAATGGATAAATCAGAACTTTTTGTGAAAGTCGAAATGGGTAACAGTTAATGTGGATCTAATTTTTGATGAAAGAATTTTTGAAAAAAACGGAATAATCATGACTTGGTCACAGTAAATGGTCTTTCTCGATTTTGTTTAGGCTCTCAAATGATCCATGTATTTTAACTCATATGGAAAACTAGTACATGCCAGCTATCAAGGCTGTAGATCGGCTCTTGCATGGAATGTCTCTTAGAAATTTAATTTTGTAATCAGCGTAATGAGCATGTTTCCTGTTTATTCACTTGGCAAATTGCTTCCAATGTAACAGAAAAATACAAAACTAATTTATTGGGAAAGAATAAGCCTTGCAAAAAATCATACCAAATTAAGTACCAAATTTTTAAAGCATAAAATAGAAGAATGAATGGACAACGAAGTCTGAGAACTGGAAACTATGTAGCAACCCATAATCTTCCCTCATATTGTAGGGACATTCTTCGATGTATATTTCTCTATGCCAACTTTCTGTTCACTTTATCCAATAGGAAATTTTAATTTACAACCTGATAGATGACTAAAACTTCTTGATTTAGCTATTTTACTCTTGAATCAAATAAACTTTTAATATCATCTCGAAAAGGTCTATAATTACCTTTTGCGATGAGCTTTAGTTTCATATATTATTATCTGTAGGGTTTATAATTGTATGTGGATGTATAGAGATTAATATCGCACTCTATATAAGTTAATTGCCGATATATACAGGCTATCGATAGAGAAACATCTTGACTATATAATTATCTTTAATAGGATAATTTTTATGACAGTTTAAATTATATTTAGGGCAAATACACACATATTTAACGCTAATCATTGTTATATTCGTGAATGTAAATGAAAGCACTTTAACGTTTAAGTAGTATGACTGTTCTTTTATATAGTTTAGTATTATCATTATTACAATGAAACTCTCTTCTCAAAATTTCCTTTACTACAGAAAATATGTATGGAATAGTGCCTGCTAGCGTAAGATAATATTAGCTAACAGTCCGGTATTCTCAAATTGTTTGAATGATAGTAGTTTTTCTCCATAAATATTAAGTATGTTGGCCTTTTTCTATAAGTTTTCATGTGCGCATCATGTTTAAAATTATGTGTGTGCAAACAATTTTTGATTAGTATATGTCACAAGGTTCAACTCTATATTGACAAAAGTTTCTCTTAAGGTTAAAATAGCGATTGATCAACAACTATCAACACCTTCTTATCATTTATATATACCTACTTGAATAAAACGAAAAAATTCTTTCGATTTAATCATAGTATAATCAATTGAGTAAATAAAATAGAAGAAAAAGATTTATAATATGTTAACCTCAATCCTCAATGATCTTCTCTAACATTCCAGCTGTACGAGTTATTAAAACAGAACAAACATGATGAAAATATAGAATCTAGTTTTTTGAAATATTAATGTTTGAAGACGATGACGATAGATCATGATGGAAAGGCAAACATATTTTCCATCACATTGACAGAACGTCTATAGAGCGTATCAACTTTTCTAGTATCGATCAATAATGTACAGAAACTACTTTTATTGACAAATTATCGTTTACTATCAATACGTTATCTAAATCTTTTTGTAAAAACACTAAGTATTACTCCTATTTGGCTAGAGTCTAATCCTTGATTTATTCTTCTATGTTTGACATTGATATATTGAACTTTAACAGTTTACATGTGTGTTTATATATAGTAAAAATTCTTCTATTATGTTTGTTTGTTTTTAACTCCTTTCCTGTTTAACATGACGCATTAGACAACAAAACAGTCAGCTATTTATTGTTTTCTCTTGTTATGATAATCTCACAGTCTATCACATAAATGAGATGGATAAATTATAAAAAATGTCATTCAAGAATAAAAATGTTATATTCTCAAATTTTTTATTCTAACTTCTTCTTTGTATTATCTATTTGATAGTCGTTGTACATCTTATACAAGGTTTTTTCTTGATATATTGTTGTTTCGATGAAGTATGTACACGAATAATGTACAGTGTTATATTAAAATTATCAAAGATAACTTAGAAGATTAGAATCGTATACATATAATTGTACTACAGAAACGCCATATGTATGGTGCCATTATAGGCCAATCTATAAATCATTATGATGCAATGAGAGAGACAAGAGTGATGATAGTGAAAAAGAAGATATCTGATATGTTAAACAATATTTTGACTTTTTTTTCTCTTGGACGTTATCTAATTTGGAAAGAAAAAGTGGCATTGACATGTTATGAAAACAAAATACATGTGTGAACCTGCTTTAGTCCTTTGTCCTTCGATGATATACGATTAATCAAATTGATTCATCAAGTAAAATTTATGTTTTAGGCGTATATCAATTACATAATTTATATTTATTTACTTTTATTAACCATGTTATCATTAATTTATTCAGAAAACAATTTTTGATTCTTTCATCGATCGATTGAAAACAAATTTGATATCATTATTAACCCATTTGTGTCCAAAATTTTCAAATTAACTTACAGCCTTCATTATGAATTTATATATATATCAGTACACGGG